TGGAGTCGGTTATGAATATGAAAATGTGTCATAATACTTTGTAATATCCCTATTAAAATAGAGACAAATGCGCAATTGTGCACTAGGTACCCCAAAATCTATGTATTGGGGGTCATTTCTACAATAAAAGAACTACTGATTTACTCTATGGAAAACTCTAGTGTTCCTGTGCACACACGCTCTTTCTCCCTCTATTTTGCTTCATCTTTCTTTTTTTTGTCCTACACTCTATATCTTGGGTGTAATTCACATGACATATCTGTATTTAATATCTTAAAATGTAAGATGAGCATGGATCATATCATCAACAAGAAGAGGAGTACACCACCAGATTGAACTCATCAAAGAGACACCACAAACATAGAGTGCACGAGGGAAATAATGCAACATTAAATCCAAGATTATAGAGACCAAATAGTGAGTCAGATGGCATAATTGACTTGTGCTTTACTCGATGGAAGAGAGCAAGCTCCCGGTGAGCAAAATCCTCAAGAAGAAGAACATGATCCCCAAGGCCTCCAAGAGGCTTGGGAGGCAGAAAGGAAGGAGTTTTCCCAATATTAACATAGTGCGGGTTTACACAATTGATTAGACAATGGTTTGCGCATATGGAGGTCTACCTCCATCCAGAGAATGCATTCTTTCAATAGATCTCTGATGTTGAGCCACCAAAAAAATTCAAACTCCCTTTATTAGAATCATACATGGGTTGGAGTGATCCAACTGAGTACATCGCTTCATTTGAGTCAGACACCATCTTCTCAAAATCTCCAACACACTAAAGTAATAATTATTTTACACCATGCTGAGGGACTCAGCCCTCAGGTGGTTTAATAGCCTCCCAATAAGAGTAATCACCTCCACTGAATTCAAGAAGATTTTCACGGTGCAGTTTGCCAATGCCCGGAAACCCCATAAGAACTCACAGACCTTGTGGCATGTCAAAAAATGGCCAAATGCGAACATTTGTTCTCATATCACTCGTTTCCAAAAAAAAAAAGTTGGAAATGCATGATCTAGAACTCGTGATCATAGGTAGCCCTAGCCCCGGGCTACGGAGCGAGCTATTCAAGTATGCTTTAGGTTTGTAACAACCTACAAGCTTGGTTGGACTCTTGGAGTTAGCCAACCACCACATCGCACTAGAGGTATACGCCCACCCATCCTACCAAAAAGTCAAACAATCTGAACGCCGCTTGCAGAAGAGAGCATAGCAAGATGATGGGTGAAGATTAAAGGATGACCCGCTCCCAGAACATGAAGACTATCAGCCGCCTCATAACAAAAGAGGGCTCGACAAAACCCACCAAAGAGGAGGAGAGATCCAAGAGCTACTCAGTTGATGGTTTGGATGCTGGAGTTGTTGGAGGCTATACACATTTTAATATCTACCCTTTTTTGTATCATCTTAACATATTATTTCTTCCATTTTCTCGCTCTATTTCTTTTAAATAGAGGCCTTTTGGGAAGGGACATCTAAAAGAGGGGCTAATCAAAAAAATCACAACAAAGAGTACAACAAATATCCCATTTGAAATATATCAATTGTTTCAAAATCAACATGATTTTCAAATCGTAAATGCAAGAATCCAAATGTTCTGTATGAGACATCTTCATCAAATTTTCAGTGGTTATAGCCATTCGTAAAGATAACACCAAATTTATTGTGAGAAAATTATAAATATTTTTAAAAAACAAATGTGATAATTAAATTTTTTTTTTTGAAAAATTTAGATATTAATTATCTTAAAACTAAGATTGTCTATTTTTTTAATACACCCTGTGATTATTTAAGAAAATAAGGGTTGGACACTCTTTTGAAGACGTACCATTTTTTTATAAATATTTAAAATTTTAAAAAGGTCACAACACCCAAAATTATTAGTATTATATTCTTTTGAAGACGTACCTATTGTAATATATATTTTTTTATAAATATTTAAAATTTAAAAAAGGTCACAACACCCAAAATTATTAGTATTATATATCTCAATACTTAACTTCAATATTTACATATTAAGCACTCAAAACAAAAAAAAAAAAAAGAAAGAAAATCAACACCTCACTAGTTCACAAATTCGCTGCTACTAAATTCCGACGATATTGTCAGAGTTTCAAAATAGCGGCCGGATCACAACAATTACATACATATTAAACTCCATCTTTCCACTCCTTCCACCTCGCTATTTCTTAAAATCATTGAGGGTATTTGGATTCACGACAAAAAAGAGGAAAGATGATATTTAAGAATATGTAGAATTTTTATGTCATATTTGTTACGGAGAAAGATGCTTTAAAATACCTTGAGATGTTTAAGTTGTCATTTTTGTTGTTTGGTTGATCGAAGGAGGTGAAAGATGAAAGTTTCGGAGGTCTCGATACGCCGTAATATCGCGGTTGCAGCAGTAGTTAAGTAGAAAGAGAAGAAAGATGAGAGTTTCAAAAGTAAATGTATTTGATGCTGAGGATATAAATATTAACGTTTATATGTGAGTATGTAATTCTAATAATTTTTAGTCAAAGTTGACAACGGTCTTAAAATAAATAGAACCGTCTAATAAATAAAGGAAACCACACAATCCAACGTACATCGAGCAGCGCGTCCCGCTTATCCGGCGATGGCATTTTCGTTATTACCCGCGCATAAGTTCATCCTCGCGCCTCGCAGAAAGGGTTCAAAGGGGAAGGTGAAGAGGTCGTATCTGCTGAGCACGGCACTGTGAGATGGCGCCGAGGGTAGCACGAAAGCGGCGGTCACCGTCTTTGGATCCCGAAGGTATCTTCAGAGGCATGAATGTCTTCCTAGTGCCGGGGGGTATGCGGTCCCAAAGGCTCAAGGTCTTAATTGCTTTCTTCATTGGATTCTATCCACGAACACCTCTTTCGCTTTTCATGGCTAACTGCTGTTTTAGCGATGCTTTTGATGCTTATAAAAGTTATTTTATCTCTTCACCTAATGGGCATTAGTTGTCCTGTGTTTAATTCAATTTCTTGCAAGGTATGGAAGCAGAAGTTGTTACAAATGGGGGCTAAAGTTGAAGATGGATTTTCGGAGAGAGTGACTCATATTTTTGCCATAGACTTTAGGTCACTTCTTCAACAAGTGAGCTTTCAAAAGTTGCAAAATTTCGAAGGAGTGAGTGGTTTTTGACTTTATTCTTCTTCACTGTTGCTGAATCTACTTCGTTTTTCGTGTTCTATCTTTTCTTCCTGCGTACATTTCTTATTACAACATAAATCTGGATTTAGTAAGTTCAATTGTGAGGCGGATTTATGAATTTATTCTACTGTCGTCCACGAGCTAATCTCCGTCGCACAGATTATTGGATTTACGGGATTTGATTAAACACCGCCTAAGAGTGTTTAAGGATTAGGCATTGCGAGAGACCGTCGGTGCAATGGTTAGGTTTTCTACTTTTGACATGAAAACACATTTAAGTCATGAAAACTGCCTTTTTGCTTAAACAGGGTTAAGGCGTCATATATTATCCCCTCTCCAATTCAATTGTTGGATGGCTGGATCGCGAGGATTGTGTTTATTACATCCTTCTAACTAAATCATGGAAGGTATTCCTACTGCTTATGTGAAGCAACGCTTAGACTGGTTAACAATATCAATGTGCAGGAAAGAAATGATGAACATTAATTACCTAAATAATCATTAATGCTAGTTGTGGGGATGCATGAGAATGCACTTAACATAAGTCGTGCTAATTTTACTATAAATCAGATATATGAACCAAAGTTTTCAATATGATGGGGTTTTCTTAGTAGCAACTATTTGAAATATATATGCATGCCACTTTGGCCTGGTGGTTGAGAACTTTATCTTTCAATCAAGAGATCTTGGGTTCAAGGCCTTAAATTTGCGGGGTGGGTGCGTTTTGATGGGTGTATGTGAAATAGTATTTGAAAATATAATTTCTCTCTCTCTCTCTCTCTCTCTCTCTCTCTCTCACTGTATATATTTATATATTGTTTTTGCATTGGTTATTTTTGAAGTCTCATGGTGCGATTTGCTTTGTATGTAAAATGACAATTTATTGCTAACTTGGCTGTGTGGCAATGGAAACCTGCATTTGAAGTTATTCCATGTTGCACATACTTTCCTAGAAGGTTTGTTTTAATTCCGTTTTAATGGGCTAGAACACTATTCTGAAATGACATGCTAGCAATTAACCTGAGTGATGAAAAATAAGCAAGGGTTGAATGGATTTAAATCTATGAAAAGATTTGCTAAATGGAATTTGTGAATTTTGAAAGAAAAGACGAGAATAATTTGATACAATGATTAGAAAAGGAATAATATTACTTGCTTATGAAAAACTAAATAATGGAAAGGGAAAAAATCTAAGGACACTGGGAAATGTTGTAAGTTAATATTCTGTTGGATAGACTAACAATAGGAATATGATTGGATAAATAATTGATAGATAAAACTGTTAAAGCAAATATGACTAGTGATAGGGTTGATTATTATTAAGTTAATTATCTACTAGGATATTATAAATGTGGTTAATTCTTTTGTTCCTCAAGTTGGATTAGCATTTAGTTTAAATAATTGATATTTAGAAGAGTTGGATGAACTATTGTACCATATGCTTGCTGAAGAATGAATTTTTATTATAGGTGAGTAAAAGACCAATATAGATCATAGTAGGATGGCTATGCAATGGATTCATCGTGATTATGAAATATGAGATAGAAATATAAGGAGAAGCTATAATATATCTCATTGTAGTATACAATCTTGTGATAGTGACACATACTTTAAGAAATCAGAGTAGCTCTTAGTTACTTACAATAGTAGATTATTATTCAAAATCATCTGCAGGACATCAGAAAGGGATCCATCTAGCATTTCGAGTAAGCGATCTGGGTACGTGGAAAATGAGTTTAATCTTGATTTTGGATTGGATGTAGGGGTATCAATTCGGGTCGGGTTCGGGTTTGACCCGAAAATTACTCGACCTGAATAATAAACGGGTCAAAAACTAAGTCCCGAAACCGAGCTTGACCCGCTAACCCGAACCCAACATGAGATTTTGTGATTATTTAGGTCATGTTTGGTTTTTTGGGTGCAACCTGAATGCAATCCGAATAATAAACAGGTCAAATTCTCTGGCATATTCAGATCAACTCTAACCCTGATTTTTCTAGTCGTGTTGGATCAATTTTTGACAACCCTAATTTGATGCAGGAAGTTACTATTTTATGTTAGAATAGCACTAGACATTAGTAAAGGGAGAAAGAAAGTTCTCTATCTTCTTCAAGCTCCCCCTCTCTCTCTTTGTGTTTTAGATGATCCAAGAAAAGATCAATCAATTTCTTCCTTTCTCTATCTGATGCCTTTTTTTATTGGAGGAGAATGTCAATCATGAAAGAATGAAAATTTGTTACAAGAAATTAGAGCTTTTACCATTTCTTTTTTGATCGGTTATGGATGAACAACTTTGAGTTAGACAATTAGCACTATGTTGATGCTTGAACTACTTGGGAACTAGTGACTTGAATGGCACTTCATTATTAGACTAAAGCGCTCTCCCTAAAACCTTGATTTCTATTGTCTTCAACTCTATTTGACTTCCTAGATTCTTTGCAGTGGAATCAATATCAAGTTGAAGGTGAGGGAATAACTATATTCCTCTCTACAAGAACCTTTTAGTGATGGTGGCCATCTGACCATTCTTATTTTGTAGAGAATTTTGGTGTTGTGATGGATCTTTATGTTGCCTGTGGTTGTGATTATCTTCTCCAACAACTAGTTTTCCTATTACTTATTCTTTTGGCCTAACAATGTGCCGTCGAGAGGGGTAAAATTTTCTCAACCTTGTCATTCAACATCAAAGGTTAAAGTCATTTTAGATGATTCACTTTCACTACAATGTATATGTTCATGTTGATGGGCATCATTAATTGTTATGTTTTCTCTTATCTTGTTGAGGACTTAAATGATCCTTATGTAAGGGTGTAATAGAGCTAAGTTAACTCGTGTGCCAGTTTGGATTCTACTTGATAAGTGGCTCGGGAGCTAAGCTTGATGAACTAGCCAAGCTCAAGCCAAATCTAACTCAATTTGTTTGCTTTTGAACCGACTCATTTTAAAGAAAATTATTATAAAAAACTTTCAAAATGTATTAAAATTTATGTTCTATTTATAATTTAGTAGAAATGTTTAAAATTTATATTTTATATTTAATATCACGTATTATTTTTATTATTTTTCTCTTAATTGTTAAATTTATTTTTCATTTTATTATAAACTAGCTTGAATTATTGTTCTCTATTTGTTAATCAACGAGTCGGCTCATAAGCTGACTCAAACTCGTAGAATTAAGGTCGAGCTCAAGCTCGAACTCGATTAATTAATCAATCTCAAGCTGAGAATTACTCGAGCTTAACTCGACTCGTTTACACTCCTTTCCTCATGTAATTGTACAAGAGTCAGTACAACTTTACCGAGAATTGGTGAATTATTTCTATACCTTGGCATGGATTCTTTTGAATCTTTTTTAAAACATTTCTTTCTTCGTTTCTTTTGGCAATTTTATATGCGATATGATATGTAAGGTTATATATATTCAAAAGGTTTGAAATGATTTGTGAAAAATAAGTTTAATTGCTAAAGCAATTCTATTAGGAATGAATGAAAAATTTGTATTCATAAAGTTGGCTATAAACTATTTGGATAAGCTTAGTGACATTGAGGATGGAGAGGTTTGGTTGGCTTGGGTACAAGCTGGCACATATTTTAATGGCGAATGAGTCATGGCTATACTGATTAAGATTTGGGTAAGGAAATGTAAGATAATATTCTCTGATGGAATTACAAAGTCAAAGTGGTAGAACTTGAGTCTACCATGTTATTTTTTCACTTCAAATTTATTTCTCATAAACTAAAAATAGTATAACTACTTTAAGATATTGTACCTTTTGTATTGCATTGACTCAATGCAAGTTAGGTTTGTGAAGAGTACATGATTTGCTCTTTTGTATAGTATGTTTTAGAGTCACTTGTTTTTATTACGTCGCGATGTTGCTTATATAGTAATTTTGTTAGGTGATGACTGTTGACCTCATTTTTGGTGAGGTCTTAGTCTCCTACTCTTAGAACCTAGGATCTAGCTTTAGGAGTTCTTATTGACAATCCTAGCGGACTAGCAATGGAGCCCACCTCCCGTAGAACTTCAAGCCACTTCTTGCCTCATTTTTGTGAAGAACTCGCATGAGTGGTTCGAAGCACTCAACTTTTAGTTGCAAGGGCTAAGGACCAACATGTAGAGGGCCCGAAATTGAGTTCCTATAGGATCAAATAGCCTTAGGTGAACCCTTTGTGACTCGATTATTCGTGAAACGCCGCATTTCACGCACTCACTGCATCACACAC